GGGGCCAGGTGAGGGGCGGCAGGAGGTTTGAGGATGATGCAGGGCGGGTCGTCCCCGCCCCTGAATGACAGGCCACTCTCCTCCCTAGAAACACCCAGAAGTTCCAGGAGCTGCTGTGGCCCGCTGGCGCTGAGGACCCCGTGCCTGGAGAATAAGCGCCCACCTTCCCAGCCCCCTCCTATCATTGCTGAGTCCCCAAAGGGATGATAAAGGAGGAAAAAGAAAGAGGGAGGTTGGAGGTCGTCCCTGAAAGGCCCAGAATGCAGCCTGAGGGCTGGACAGCAAACATAAAGGCTCACATCTCTGTCCCAACAGAAGGCCTGTTATTTCATCTTCCTTCCTCCAAGCCCGCTGCCGGGCCGGGGTCAGAGGGCCAGGTCCCGGGGGTCCAGCAGTGCGAAGGCCCCGTTCTTTCGGAAGAAAGACTCAATGCGGCACATCTTGCAGGAGACCAGTTCTTGCTTCACTGGGGGGCCTGGGAAAAGATGTTGGAGGCCAGCAATTGGTTCCAGGGGAAGGGACTCAGGAGAGCCCTATCTGTCTACATGGCCTTGTTGTATCCACTTAGTGTGAAGAAACAGAAAGGTCTTCTGAGGAGTGGAGGCTACAGGCAAATACAGGCTGGACACTGAATACAGCAGTGAGCGCAGCATGGCCACTGGCTGTCTGCCATCGTCACCCCAGTCCTGCTGTCACAGGGACAGACAGCAGCCATGGGACTTCCCTCAGCCTTGCTGCCCTCTGGGGCTTCCCTCCTGCTTTTGTTGGAACCTTGCTCCCCTGGCTTCCTTCTTAGTGCTCTGGGGGAAATGAGGGGAATGAGGAAATTGGGGTAAAAATCCAACCATGTTGATTCCCAACCATCTGCCTTTTTGGCACAGGCACTTGAGCAGCCGGAGAAAAGATTCCTGACTGAGTGACCTCCCTTGACATTCAGACACAGGCAAAGAAAGGGTCATTCGGCACCACCCAGCAACCTGGCAACACTTGCTGCCATATTCTCTGCCCCACTTTCAGTCTCTGCTGAAAACTACACTGACTGGGCTGGTTCCCTCCTAGCTTTCGACCGTTCTCAGCCACACAGGAAGCAGACTCAGTGTAGATGGATAACCTACCCACTCCATCGCTACTGGCCTCTAGCCGTGTCCACCTGCCCTTAGGTGAGACTTCAGGAACTTGAGCTTCCCAAGTGACCTCATCCAATTGCAAGGATTTAAATAGCACTTAATGTATACTTTAATGACCCCAAGTTTGTTCTTCAGTCTGAGCTGATGCAGAGAGCCAGACTTCCACACACAGACCTAATACCTCGAGCTCACCTAGGCCAAATGACCTGTCTCATGTACCCTCCCTCCAGTCCTCTCCCAGTCTTCTCTGTTGGAGGTGCTACAGCCAAACATCTGGGCATAGCCAGTGATTTCTCTCTTCCTGTCACATTCAGCCTACCAAAAAGTTCCAGTGAGACTCCAAAACATCAGAACTGACTTCAGCTCTCCTGCTAACCTTCTGAGCTGAAGCCACCATCATCTTTTGCCAAGATAACTCCAAATACATGTTTAACTCACTTGTCAGAGTCTACACCTCCCCCTGAAAAACCATTACCTACAACAGAAGGGTAACTTTTAAAAAAGTAAATCAGCATCACATACCTGCTCAGAACCCTCCACTGGCTTCTCTTTGGACTAGAGTAAAATCCAAAGCCCTCCCCTTGTCATTTAGCCATCAGCCTGAGGGCCTCAGAAAGGCTTTTCCTGACAACAAAATCTGAAGATTCACCTCTCCCCTGCCTGCCCACCCAGTCACTCTAGTCTTTAGGAATTAGAGTCCCTCTTGGCCATTTCCTTGCTCTTATCTTTATTGTCTGGCCCCTCCACTGAATGTCTGTCCTGGCACCTGGCTGGTATTCCAGATTAGGGAAGTGACTGACTTCTGAGAGGTTGGGACTCACCTAGCTGCCAACCGTAGGTGAAGTTGGTGGTGATGGGCAAGAGGTAGCGTGACTCCGGCAGATCCAGTTTTTGGGTGTTGAGGTAGTGGTAGCGCCCCTGGGAGTCATGGGAGATGCCGTCATACAGCAGGGCCCGGGTAGCAGGCGGTACCGGGTACATTTCTGACTGAAAAGAAGCTTCTGGGACAGGGCTGGGGGATTTGGAAGGGACTGCTTTGGGGACAGGTGGGGGCGAGTGTGGGGCCTTGGAGGCCAAGGTAGGCAGTTTGAGGGGCAGGCGGGCTGCAGCCTTGGCCTTCTGCTTGGCCTTTACCAATGACCCATACTTGTGGTGCCATTCACAGCGCAACATCTTTTCCCTTAGATATTCTTCCTTCCAGAAATTTTGCCGCAGCGTATCCATGTTGAGCTGCCGAGACATAGTAGTAAGCAAAGGAAGGACCAGTACCAGATAGTTGCAACCAAGGAGTGAACACGGCCAGCAGAGTCTGCAAGCAAGTGGCTGCCCTGGAACAGTCACCTGGCAACCAAGGCCCACCTCACACAGGGCCAGGGTTCTACTTGCCATGTCCTCAGCAGTCTTCACAGGCCACCCTTCTTGAAGCAGCCTGGGCCCCTACACCTCCTGCAGGATCTTGCTTAATCTGGAATTATGGGCATCCTGGTTTCCTGGTTCACTTCCGCCCCTGGGGCCAGGTCATCTCCCAGCCCCATGCAGACCTGGGGGGTGGGGAGGTCTCATACCTATCCCTGCCCTGCCAGCTGGTCCTCTTTGATCCAGACAACCAGCCCCTTGGACCAATCTTCCTGGCCCAGCACATCTTTGGCAGAACTTTTTTCCAGCTTTGGTAATCTAAATCTCCCCCCAGTATCCTGGCCCTACACATACTTTCCAAGCACCCAGCCCAAGTTTGGAGAGAATAAAGAATATTACTTTAATTTAACATCGATAGTGACATTGTAACAGCACAGGGAAGAGGTAGAGGAGAGAGAAGATGGCCAGGCTTCCTGTTCCCTAACCAGCCTGGGTTTTAACAGCAGAGCTCCCAGTGGCCTAGAAGCATCATCCAGCCTTCAGTGGAGGGGTAAGGGTGGGGCTGGTGAGCCAGGGACTGCCCCTAGCGTAGGTCTTCGGCAGTGAACATGCCCTTGGCCCTGCGCAGGATGGAGTCCTTGGCAGCGTCATAGGGATGCTCCTTGGATGGGATCTCCAGGACAGCTGGAATGGAGCGCTGGTGGGCATCGAGGGCATGGCGAACCATCTCTGCGATGTACTGGTTGATGAGGATGATTCCGATGTCATCCCGGTTTAGAAATTGCCTGTGAGGAGAAATGGGAAGGGAAGCTCACTCCGGGTGGTGAGACTGGGCCATAGGCAGGGAATGAGAGGGACCTGGGAGCACAGAGGACATGGGGGAAAGGCTGCCACACTAAACCCTCTCTCAGGGCTGTTCTTCTTTGAATGAGGCAGTTTCACTCAAGAGCTCAGGGTCACGGGCAGTATGAGAACTCTGGGAGGAAGGAACACTGAAAATTTGAGCTGAACCTAGACAATTTAGCAGCTTCGTAAGACCTTAGCTGACCCTGTAGTAAGGGTCAGGGATGCAGCTCAGTGGTGCTGAGCCTGCCTGGCAAGCACAAGGTCCTGAGTTCCATCCCAAGTAAGCCCCCGCAAAAAATGGGGGGTGAGGATGTTGCTGAGTGCAAAGGCCCTGGGTTCAATTGCCAGTACACACACACACAGCTGAGGGCCATGTTGTTCAAGGCTGGCTTCTGTCTCCCCATTTTGGAGAGGAAACTAGTAATGAAAATGTGTTCATAACTGCCTTTGGGCTGGGGATTTAGCTCAGTGGTGCTGCTGCCTGCCTTGCAAGTGCAAGGTCCTGAGCTCGATCCCCCGTACCCCCCCCCAAAAAAAAGAAAGAAAAAGAAAAAAAGAGAGAGAGAAATAATATGCTGTCTTTATGTAGGAAAAGGAAAGGACAGGAATGAATATGTATATGTTTGTATCTGTAGAAAGATTGCAGAAAGATACTGAAAGAACTAAGTGGTTATCTTTATGGGTGGAAGAGAGAGATAAAGAGGTGCAAGGTTTTGGGTGGGGGTTAGATTTCTCAGCATATACTTTTTTTTTCCTGTACCAGAGACTCAGGACCTTGTGCTTGTGAGGTAGGCGCAGCGCCACTAAACTAAATCCTCGGCCATTCTTTTTCTTTTTCTTTTTTTTCTTTTTTCTTTTTTCTTTTTTTTTTTTGTTTTGAGACAAGGTCCCCTTGTGCAGTTTAGGCTAGTCTTGAACTTACTATGTAGCCTAGGCTGGACTCAGACTTGTGGTGGTCCTCCTGCCTCAGTCTTCCAAGTACTGGGATTACAGGCATATGTCACCATGCCTGGCAAAAGATACCTTTTAAATATGTTAAAGTTTTTACCTACCCCCTATGTTAAATGTAAACATTATGTATTGCAAACATGTATTAATTAAAAACTGGAAAAATAAGTATTATTAAAGTTTTTAAAAACAGGGCTGATGAAACCACTGAAGGCCTCAAGGTCTACACTCAGGACTGTGGGAGAAGTGTCTGAGGGGATGTTGGCATGAGCCAAGGACACAAGATAGAAAGAGAAAACCTGGCAATGGAGGAATCACACTTTCCACAGAGGCTCTTCTTGTGTTCACCCACACAATTCATTCATTTATTTACTCATAAAACTAAAACTCTGTTGAGTACTTACCCCATGCCAGGCACTCAAGTAGCCAGGCTTGATGTCTCTGAGATCCCTTTCTGGTTGGAACCATGGATTTGTTTTTTGTTTTTTTTTTTTTTGCAGGGGGTGGAAGTGCTGGGGGTTGAACCCTGGGCTGTTGCATTGAGCTACAGCCCCAGCCTTTCTTTTTTTTTCAATTTTATTTTCAAGATAGGGTCTTACTAAATTGCCCAGGCTGGGCTGAAATTTGTGATCCTCCTTCCTCAGCCTTCCAGAGTGCTGGGATTATAGGCTGTGTTACCACTCCTGGCTAGAAAATTCTTTTTTGTTTGTTGTTTGAGACAAGGCCTCACTCTGTAGTCCAAGCTGGCCTTGAACTTGTGGTGATCCTGCTGCCTCAGCCTTCTAAGAGCTAAGGTTATAAGGCCTGAACCACCTGGCTAGGAAATTCTTTTTTTTCTTTGAGACAGGGTTTTGTCATGTGGTCAGGCTAGCCTTAAACTCCAGGTGATCCTCCTGGGATTACAAGTGTGTGCCACCACATCTGATTAGAAAAAATTTTTTTTTTTTTAAAGAAAATTCTTGAAGTGAAATTTCTCCTCCCATAATACTTGGGCCACTTTACCAACTGCCTGGCGATCATGAGATAGCAGCCTCCCAGGTCAGGGCCTATCAGACCCCTTTGGCAGCAGGAACCAGTCTCAGCCAGCAGCTTTGGGCCAAGCTGTTTAGGGGAAACAGGTGAGTGAGGTATTTCTGAGACTTGGCACAGAAGCTCTAGAGAAAGACTGAGGGAAGGTGTCTGACATCAATTCTAATCACCAGGACATCTACTGTATTAAAGGGCACACTTGCATCCATACTTTGAAGCTATCAACCTTGAATGAGAACAGGAAGAAGTACCAGGTTTTAGTAGAAAGCCAGAAAGTCCAGATATTATTCTCACTGTGCTTAAGACAAAGGAACATTCCAAGGCAGACTGAGGTCAACTGCACAAGTCGAGTGTGTACAGCTTAGGAGAGACAGAAAAGCGTTCGCTCTCGGTTCAAATTCCAACTATGACTCTTCCCACTAGCGTGCTCTTGGGCAGGTGTCTTAACCTCTCTGAGTTTGTTTATTCACCTGTGAGAATAATAACCCCCCGCCTTACAGGACGATTATGACAGCCTCTAAGGAATATATGAGAGTACAAGAAGGCACAAGCCCGTTGCCTAGGATTCCAGTGAGTGTGGTTCCTTTAGGGAACAATTCGCAAAAGAGCCGAGCTCTTGCAAGGCCTGGGAGACCGCTCTTGGGTAAACATGGGGGACCGGAAGAGCTGCTGAGTCTGACCGTCTCTAGGGGCCGGGCACCCTAGACGTCCATCTATGGCAGGGATAGGTCACAAGCTCTGTTCCCCTTCTTTCCTGACACACGGTCATGTGAGGGGAGCTCGTGGACCTGTTACAGCCCCGAGACCACCGAAGTCCAAAAGGGAACTTAAGGGCGCGGAGGCTTCCGCTTCAGAAGGCGGACAGACTTCCAGGATCGCCTCACATTCCCATAGGTATCTGACACCTCTGACCTGGGTCGCTTTCGCCCTCTCCCCGCGCTCCACTAAGCAGCAGCCCGTTCAGGCCTCGCAGGCTACCGTACCGGAAGGTGTCTTCGATCTCATTGATGGTTGTATCCTTTTCTACCACCAGGAAATTAGGGTGGCGATTCTTGTTAAGCTCCCCTATGCCGCCCAGGAGAAAACCAGTCACTGTGTCTTCATCTCCAATCACTGCGATTAGCTTCCCCCTCCCGGCCATCTCCGCAGCACTCGGCGATCACCCCAACTCCTGAAGTCGCCAAAGCCCTGCCCTCTCAGTGAGTCGTCGAGCCGACCTCCGCTACCTCCCCTCAGTCATGCGCAGTTCCACCACCGCAGCTCCGGGACATGCGCATTAGCAACAACGAGGCCGCCTGTTGAAGACGCCTACACCATACAGAGAGATCTGAACCAGGTGACTACGATTCCCAGAAGGCTGCGCGGCATACGGCAACTCTCAGGCTTTTGTTCTCTCTTTCAGACCTGGTTGGTTGAGACCCCAAGGAAGAGAATAGGCTTCTGGCTTGTGTATGCGTTACATAACGACCACACAGTTAACAATTAATACATATTTTAAAAATTACTAGGGGCCGGGGATTTAGCTCAGTGGTTCCGCGGCCTGCCTTGCAAGCTCAAGGACCCGAGTTCGATCCCCGGTACCAAAATAAATAAATAAATAAAATGACTAAAGGAATGAACAAGTTACTGATGCAATAACTACCTCTCGCGAGGTAGAGTCAAGGGAACAGGCCAGTACAAAGCACTGTGTTGCTAAACTGTGAGAAGTACGTGGCAGCACACATCCCTGGTAACTAACCCCAGCAGAGGGAGTGCTCGAAGAACACTTCCCCAAGGAGGTGGCATCACCTGAGCTGAGACCTGAAGGACCAGCAAAGTGAAGGGAATAGAAATGAGGGCAAGAGGGTATTCTAGACAAAAGGATCAGACTATGCAAAGGCTTGGCAACCACAGAGTCGAAGAGTATTCAAGAAAAACAATCCGGGCGTTTTTCTGAAGACAAAAGGATTTTAATCAAAAGGCTTATATGGCCAGATTTATACTTTAGAGCTATCACTGGAACTGTGCTGTGGACAGAGGCAATACTGAAGAAGGAGAAACCAAACTGGAAGGTCATTGTGGTAATGAGCATGTGGAGAAATAGGTGAAGTCAAGGGATATTTAGAGCAAGAGTGGGCAAAACTGATTCTTGGATTGAGGATTGAGGATCTGCTGATCCTCAGAGTTGAGGGATTGAGATCCACTGATCTATGGACACATCAACCCACAGCATGAGGACAGCAAAACAGTCAGGAAGATCTCACTCCGGGGGCTGGGAATCAGGGACAGAGAGTGAGGTGGCTGTGAGGGTATGTGTAGGAGTACCTGGTCTGGCCACTGGCACAGAGCTGGGCCTCAGTGGCCACAAGATAACAAATCTGCCTTTAATGGATAGGTCATATAAAGGAGCTGGGATACCATTGGATTCATCACTACTCCATTTAGCCATCATTTATCAAATTGAGCTGGAGATATTTATTTATTTATTTATTTGATTTATTAATTTTTGTACTGGGATCTAACTCAGGACCTTGCACTTTTTTTTTTTTTTTTTTTTTTTTTTTTTTTTTTTTTTTTTTTGAGTATGGCTTCTTCTGGTCACTTTTTTTTTTTTTTTTTTTTTTTTTTTTTTGAGACAGGGTCTCACCTGGAACTCACTATGTAGTCTGGTCTCGAACTCATAGTGATCCTGCTGCCTCAGCCTCCCAAGTGCTGGGATTACAGGCATGAGCAGCCATGCCCGGCAGGACCTTGCACTTTCGAGGCAGGCAGTGGCACCACTGATCTAAATCCCCAGCCCTGCAGATATATTAATGAAATCTGATTTCTTCCCTCAGAGGCTTCCTGCAGGACTAGGGGGAAGGTGAGAAGTATCAGAGGGAGAAGACAGACGTACAGTAAAAGGAAATTCTGAAAATGTCCTGAGGAGCACATCAAGGGTGAGGAAGGGGCAAGTACCTCCTCCCAGATGCAGGAAGGGAAAGAAGAAACTTAAGAGAGGAGTGAGGAGCAGATAGGCCACAGAGTGAAAAGGTGAGGAGGAGGGTGCTTCGCAGCTGGAGCCAGGGGTTTAGGGTCTTTTCTGGCAGTCCCACTACTAAGGGCTTGAAGACTGGTCTACTGTTGCAGGATCCATTGAGAGAAACATGTCTGCTCTGCTCTGTGTCTGCTCATTCACATGTTTTCAGACTCTTATTAGAACTCTCAGGCCCAGGGAGCTCAGGCTGGTGCACAAGGCCATGCTGGATACCTGGTCATGGATCAGGGTAGTAAATATAGCCAGAGTTGTGCCTAAGGGCAGAGTCCAGGAAGACAAAGGTGGAGAGGCAATGGTGTTTCTAACTAGAGGCCCAAACTGCAGCTCATGTGCCTAGGAAAGTAGAGGCCATGAAAGGCGTTGGAAGAGGGTACAATGGGGAGTGAGCATGCTGCCCCACTCATGTGCTAGGGAGCTGGCACCTGAACCTTGGAGATCTCAGAGGGCTCCTAAGGAAGACTAGACTTTTTTTTTTTTTTTTTTTTTTTTTTTTTTTTTTTTTTTTTTTTAGATAGGGTCTCCCTATGCAGTTCAGGCTGGCCTTGAATTCACTGTGTAGCCCAGGCTGGCCTGAAACAAAGCAGTCCTCCTGCCTCAGCCTCCCAACTGCTAGGCTTATAGGTGTGCACCACTAGGCCTGGAAAGAGTAGGCTATTTAGCCTGAAGCCAGAGGGAGCTACAAAGAAATCTAAATGGGAGAAGGGCATACTGCCTTTATTGGATCCTCTGGCTACAGCATGGACTGGAAAGGAGAGCTGCCTGGAGAATGGTTCAGTTGGTGCAGGAGTCTAGGAGGGCCCTGAATGACACTGGGGCTGGAGGTGGGGCTGCAGTGGCTTTGACTCAGGACCTGGAATGAAGGTCCCACTTGCCTGCTGGCTGGGTGAAGACCGTTCCTATTTGAGTCTTTGCTGTCTTGAATTCCTAATTTGAAGAACACTACCCAGGTCAGGCTGAACTGAAACTGGCCTTCTGGAAGTCCTGGGGTGGGCAGCCTTCCAGGACATAGTGTCTACTCCCCTCTACCATCTACCAGCTCGTAGCCAGCTGAAGACCAGCCCCACCCCCATCCCCACCCGTCTCTCAAACTTTCTGCCAACATTCACCCCTCAGGTCTGCCCCTGGCCCTCCCCTCAGCTTGGGCCAGCCCTCCAGGGACACCCAGCCTCTGCCTCTCCAGGGCTGATTTGGAGCCAGCAGGCCAGGAGGCAGCCAGCCACAGAGAGCACACCCATAAAGAAGAGCCAAGCCTCTGCGATAGCCGCACTTTATTTGGAGTTTTCCACCTAAGCAGCTCCCAGCTGAGCTGCATGACATGTGCAAAAGACCCCCCGAAAGCTGGGCCTCGCAGTGTGTAAAAAAGGCCCTCCATGGGGCAGAGCTGTGCAACCGTAAAAAAAGAGAGAAAAATCAGTTCCCCAGGAAGCCTAGTTTGAGTGGGGTACATAGCACTTGGGGCAGTCCACACGCTGCTTGTTCTGGGTCTGTTTTCTTCTCTGATTGTGCTTTCTTTTCCAAGTCCTTGACACTCCCAGGTGGTGGCCACCAGAGAGGCCAGATGCAGTCCTCAGGCAGGGCGGCCTGGCCGGCAGGGTGGTTTGAGGGTAACCTCTCTCACACACAGACACCCCCAACACCACGCTTCCCCACTGGCCACAGCTCCACCAGGAAACTCAGGGTTCCTCCAACCCCCTGTGCTGCCCTGTCACAGCCTCTGCCTCTGAGCCTGGCCCCAGTCTCCCCTTGGGACACATTCAAGGGAGGACACTGCCCTGAGACAGATAAAGCCTCTACGCCCTGAGGGCACAGTGGGATGGGAGGCTGTGCCATTCAAGTCACACCCAAGGCAGGTGTTTGGAGTGTTGACTGTGCAAGTGAATCTGAGTGTGGCACGCTGGTGTGTGGATGCGTGTGAGCGTTTGGCTGGAGGTGGGGGCTGAGGCGGGGGGGAGGTGCTTCTGGGATTCAAGGCACGTTGACTTTGAAGGGGCTTCCGGGGACGCTTTCATCACCCCACTTGACAATGAGGATGTAGTCCCCCTTCTCCTTGACGGTGTAGGTGACGTTGTACACCCGGTTCCCCATGTGCTTCACGTATACCTCCTCACAGGGGGTCTTGGGCCCGTGCACACCCACCATCATCATGTTGGTGCCTGGAGAGGAGGCAGAGGGATGGACTCACACTAGGGCCCCCGGCGGCCCCAGCCCTCCCCGCCTCCTCTCCCACTCCCACCCCTACCCTCCTGTCCCCTGCAGCCTGCCTGCTTTGCTGCAGTCCACTGTGAAGGAGTTCTTCTGACCCACAAAGGCCTGGGACAGCCCAGGGCCCCGTGTCACCACCTTGCTGGCATCCGAGGAGAACTTGGGGATGGAACTGTAGCTGGAGCCATGGCTTGAGGATGACTTGGTCACAGTCTCCACCAGAACCGTGGATGTTTCATGAAGGCTGTGGCCTCCAGACAGCCGGGGACCTGAGGGACGGAGTGGGTGGACATGAACCCAGTCAGGGGATCCTGCCATTCCCTAGGTACCAGGCCCTGGGCCAGCACTGACAACTCTGTGACAGAGTCCCAGGCCACACTGTCTGCACTGTGTTCTCCCACATCCTGTTCCGAGAAGCCCATTTCAAACAAGTGTCCAGACTACCAGCTCCAATTCCTGCTTATTCCTAGGTCATGGCCTAGGGACCCTGTCTCTCATCCTTCTAGGCTTTGGAAACTCAAGGTAACTCACAGGATAAAAGTCTTGCTTTAAAAAGGAACATGCTATGCAGCTAACAAAGTCCTTCAAACAGTTTTCAAAAGGGTAGCTTGCCAAATATTTATCTTCTTTGAAGCAAGAAAGAAGGGAAACCTGGAAGAAGAATGTTAAGCTAATGCTTGGGGGAGCTGCTACAGGTAGACAAGAATAAAGAAAAAAAGTTGGAGTTTTTAAAATGACCATGCCTGACTCCACACAATGGAATGAATGCTACAGAAATCCAGACCCACCCCCATCTCCTTCCAGGTAACTTGGCCATGACGCCTGGGGAAAGACTAGGGCCAAGTGTGAACAGCCTCCGGAGCTGTCCAGGCTGGGCTGGGCTATAGACCTCCCCCACCTGGGGCACTCACCTGTGACCTTGGCTTTGAAGGGGCTGCCCACGATGTGCTGGGGGCCACCATACTTGATGGCGATGAGGTAGTTGCCAGGGGCCATGGGAGTGTAAGTGACCACATGGCCCTCAGGACACTCCCGACAGTCCAGCTGCACCTTGGAGGGGCCATCAATGGTGACAGACAAGGCCCCTGAGCCCGCATTCAGGGTGTTCACAATGAACTCTGACGATACGCCTGGAGGCCAGAGGGAGCAAAGCTGTAGGAAGGAAGGGAGGAGGCCCAGAGCGAGGCTGGGCCCCAGGGCCTGGGTAGTGGGGCAGGAGCAGCGCGCACACACAGACGCACACAGACACACACACACGAGCATTACTCCCACCTCTAGGGCAAGGCAGTACCAAGGAGCACTTTTAAGCACCCCAAGGCCCACTGCTGTGCCCAGCTCAGGCACTCACCCGTGGTGCCTCCCTCAAGCCCAGGACCGTAGGCTGACACCAAGCCTGGGTCCCCAGCCTGGCTCTGTTCTCCTACACGGATCTTGAAGGGGCTTCCAGGGATGTGTGCACCATTGAACTTGACATCGATGGAGTGGACGCCATTCTCATGGGGGATGAAGCGGATGGTATGCTTGTCTGTGGGGCAGAGGGTTGGTGGGTAAACATCCCTCCTTCCTAGGCGGTCCTTTCTGACAAGGGGTGGCAGGGGCAAGGTGAGCTCACCACTGTCCAGCTCCGAGACGTAGCACTCCTCCACTGCCCCCGAGGGGGTATGGACCCTGGCATCAATCACGCCGCGTGCACCATTCAGCTGCACCGCAAAGGATGCCGGCTGGTTCACCTTGAGCCCTGTCTCCTGCAAAGGCCACAGAAGATGCTTAGACTCCTGGGAAGCCAACGGTGGACTCTCTTTGCCATGTGCCCTGCCTTTGGGGTGTCCAGGGAGGGGACCCGTGCTGCCTGGCCCTTCCGAGGTCACTGCTAAGTCCCTGGTGTATGGGGCCTGCCATCCTAGGCTCTCGGCCTATCTCTCAGGTAGTAGGGGGCCCACTCCCAGCACACACCTGGAGGCTGGTGACTGTGAGACGGCGAGCATCATCTGAGAGGGAGGCCACAGGTACCACGAAGGGGCTGTCTGGGATGTGCTCATCGTTGAACTTGATGGAGACCTCATAGTCACCTGGGAAGGGCGGGGCAGCCAGTCAGCAAGACTCTAGGTGGGGTGGGGGGGGCTGACTCCTACTCCTCCAGCCTCATCCCGGGACAAGCTCCTTGGGTCAGGGCTCAGCTCTGAGGACAGATGAGCACTCCCAGGAGAGGAGATGGGAGAGAAAGAGCAGAGCCAGTGAAGTGAGTCCTGCAGCCCCAGGCATCTTCAGTCTGGTTAGTGAGCAGAACACAGTCTAGAAGGTCAGGCTGGCCCAGCACCGGCCCCCAGTGTGGATATTTACCTGGCTCCTGGACAACATAGGAGACCCCACAGGAGCCATCTTTTCGGTCCTCAAATGCAATCTCCGCCTTGCTGGGGCCCTCCACGGCAATGGACAGGCCCCCGGCACCGGCTTCTCGGGTCCAGATGCTAAACTCGGCTGGGTTCAGGGAAGCAGGGCAGGGGTGGCACTTGAGTTCCTTTGCCCCTCCTGCTGGCTGCCCCAACCTCCCTCCCGGCCACGCCTGCCACTCACCTGGCACTCCTGCCACGCCTCGCTCTAGTCCTGTGCCTCCAGCGCGCACCTTGTGTGCACCACCCTCACCTAGTGGCCCCACAGTGAACTGGAAGGGGCTGCCAGGCACATGCTGGCCACGGTACTTTACAGTGACCGTGTGGGGCCCCATCTCCTGGGGCACGAAGCGCACACTGTAGGCACTGTCTTCCCCCTCAACGATCTCTGCTGCTTCCGTCTTGCCGGATGGACTGGTCACCTGTGCGGTCATGTCCTGAGAGCTGGCCTCCCCTGCAGGTTTGGGAAACGTCAGGGCCAACAAGGGCTGTTTCTGCCCCTGACCCACAGTGAAACCCCGTCCTCTGCTCAGACCAGCCCAGGCTGCCTGGACCAAGTCTTACCCTCTCATCCTGTCTCAGGATAGAAGGCCCAGCCTCCCACCAAGGACCCCAGCCCAGCCCTTAGCTCTCTGCTCACCTTCCTGCTGCCGGGTGATGCTGCCAAAAGAGCCCAGGCGTTCTCGGCCCAGGAAGTCTCCAAAAACAGCAGGAAAGGGGTCCCCGCCAACCTGGGTGGACTCCTCCACCCGCACCTCACGCTTGGTCTCCCCGCCCCGCGTCTTGCTGATCTCTGTCCTCTCTGTGCGGGTGTAAGTGTGGCTGCTGCGTGTGAAGGTGCGTGTGAGGCGCTCCTGGGCGGATACCATCTGGAACCAGTTCCCTGTGGGATGCAGGTAGGCAAGGAGCATGGATGCCAGGGGCAGGGTCTGGGCCCTGCCTATCTCGCCTCCCTCCACCCCAGTCCCTCTCCACTCTACCTGGGATCTTGAGGTTGAGGTCGCAGGTGCTGCCAATGGTGGCGATGGAAGGTGCCTGTCTCCGCCGGGTGATACTTTCCTTCATGCGGCCCTCGCCGGTCACCTTCACAGTGAAGGGGCTTCCTGTGGGGTGGAAGGGCAGGTCAGGCGCACAGACTGTCTGTCACCCAGCCCCTTGGTCTGTCCCCACTTGGCCTGCGCCAGGAGCTTACCAGGCACGTGCTTGTCAGCAAACTTTATGTTGATGATGTAGGTGCCCGGCTCAGTGGGGCAGTAGGTGACTTTGCATGTGCCATCCTCCATGTCCTCGCAGTTGATGTCCACCTTGCTGGGGCCTTCAATGCTCAGCCCCAGGCCCCCATAACCTGGGGAGGGGGAAGGGACATGTCTCCCTTAGCCCTGTGCCATCCACACCACAAAGCTCTCCCTGCCTCAAGCTGCAGGCTCTGCCCAGAATGGGCACCCAATGCATATAGTAACCACTAAGCAAAATGGTGTGGAGGCAGGTGGAGGGGGGCACTGTCCCCAAGGGCAATGAGCATTCTCTTAAAAGAGAGAACTCACAGGATGTTCACTTTCCCCGAATGGACTCAGGCTGTGAAGCCCAACAGAGATGGGCCAGGAAGCCCAGGGAAGAGAGAATGGCAAGGTGGATACGGAGTGGGAAAGACAGACAAGCACCCGCTAGAGGGACCAGTCGGAAGTGTGGACTCGGGGGCAAGGAGTACCTGCATTACGTGTGTCCACGATGAACTCTGCCACCTGGAAAGTGTGCCCCTCGGAGAGACCCTTGCCCCAGACTCGGACCTTGCTGGCGTCCCCAATCTCGGACGGCCCCACCAGGATCTTGAAGGGGCTGTTGGTGACATGCTTGCCGCCCTTGCGCACGCTCACCACATGCTCTCCAACCTCCTTGGGGGTGAAGGAGATCCCTGTGGAGAGGGGGCATTAGGCAGAGTACCCCTCGGGACCCCCCTTACCCCCCCATGCTCCTGGAGACCCAAGCTCACCGATGTGCCTGTTGGGCAGGCGCTTCAGCAGGCAGGGCTCCTCGTTGCCTGAGGGTGCTCGGATGCTGGCAGTGAGCAGGCTCAGGTCGCTTTCCATGATCTTCAGGGACACATCCGTGGAAGTGCCCACGTTCAGCTGTGAGGTCCTCATCGAATCATCACCTGGGGAAGAGTCAGGGTGCTGAGCTGTTGTGGCTTGTCAGGCTCTGCACTCTTGGGGCTCAGGAACCCCCAGGGCAGACCCTGCTGAACTCAACAGAGGCCCAGGCTGCTCCCAGGCACAGGCCCAGGCCTGCAAGAGCAGGATCTGTTTCACATTAGCTGCCAGCAACCACAGAAGGGCCTAGCACCCCAATTCCTCCATGGGCCTCAGTCCTGTGAGGGTTAAATCCCCAAATAGACCGCCGTGTATCTAATCCTGAGTCTTGTGATACAGTGGAAGTGAGACATGGGACAGACCATCAGATCCCTTTCTTGCCATATGGCTCTGATCAAAGTGCTTAGCCTCTTTGGGATGGTTTTTGTCATTATTCAGAAGACTGCCAATACCTTGGCTTCTCAAGAGTAACATCGAAAATGATATGCAGGCATGCCTTTAAAGCATGGGGATGGCTGGATGATCTTCCCTGCTGTGAAGAAGCGTTTATCCAAAAATTCCCTCCTCCACTCCAGGGGGCTTCTGCACAAAAGCCCTGAGTGAGCTGCATGTGTGTCTGTGTGTTTGTGTCATGGCTACATGTGTCCAGATGTCCACCCACCTGTGATCTTGGCTGTGAAGGGGCTCCCTGGGATGTGCTTGTCATCAAAGCGCACAATGATGCTATAGTCTCCAGGGGCTGTGGGCAGGTAGGACACAGTGCAGGTGCCATCCTTATTGTCCTTGCAGGTGATCTCTGCCTTGGATGGGCCCTCCACAGCCAGGGACAGACCCCCTGTAGGTAGAGATGGGGCTGAGCTCAGAGGCCCTGCTCTTGCCTGTGTATCACGCTGGTCCCCCACCCCTCCTCCCTGAGGCTCTCCTCACCTTCCCCAGCATCCTTGGTGACAATGGTAAAGATGGCCGGCTTGTTGACCATCCCATGGCTCAGGCCTGGCCCGTAGGCACTGACGTGGCGGCTGTTGATAGCGTCCACATAGAACTGCAGGGGGCTCCCTGGGGGACAGGGAGGGGCCAGGTCAGCACTGGGACAAGGGCTGCCTATGCCCACCTTGGTCCCCCAAACCTTCCAGCAGCCTCCCAGCTGAGCCCTGCGTCTCTGCCGTGGGGACGTGGCTTGTGGACTTGGCACCCACTGGGCATGAGTCCCTAGAGTCCCAAATGGTGTCTGCACCCAGTGGGTATTCGACTGCTCAAGGAGGGAAGGCAGGGCTGGCTCTGGGCCACCCCAACCCACTCACCAGGGATGTGGTTGCCGTCATATTTGATCCCCATCTGGTGCAGGCCCTTCTCGGTGGGTGCGTACCTCACCGTGATGGTGCCATCCTTGTTGTCAGTGATGTTCGGACGAGCGGTTTTCCCAGAAGGCATCCTTACCTCTCCTGCAAGGCAGACGAAGTTATATGAGGGACCCCGGTTTCCCTCACCATAGCCCCTGCTGCTCCAAGCCCTCCTCCTGTGTGGCTTTGTTTTCACCCCAGAGGCCAGGTGGGACACAGGTTGGAGCAGCACGGTGAACCCTGAACTGGGACACAGGTAGCTTAAGCCTGAGGTTTAGCTCTGCCCAGTTTGCTTTTTGACTTGGAGTAGTTTGTTCCCCCTCTCTGGGAACTCTAAGAGGATAGGTCTCATGCTGGGAGCCTCAGGCCATACCTGTGAGCTCCCCTTTCTGCATGGTGAAGGGGATGACCAGGTTGAAGGGCCTCAGCATGGACTCCAACGGCTCCACGGGCACCACGGGCTCCTCTGTGGCCTGTGGTTGGAGAAAAGAAACAGTCATTGGCTTCGGAGGGCCCTGGAGTGCGGCCTGCCTCATGACTGAAGTTGGACAGAGCAAGGAGAGAACAAGACGGTCAGTGGTGAAACCCAAGTGGCCGAGAGATGCGCCAGCTGCAAGAAATGGGGTGCTGTGCCTGCTTGGGGCTCCCTCTGCTCAGCCTATTGCTTGCCTGCTTTCCAAGAGGCCCCCAAACCACGCCCCAGCTTTGGCTGCAGAAGAACAGAAGGAAGAAATGGAGGAAGGGGAGGAGGAGAGGAGGGCAAGGTCCACCGTGGTAGGCGCAGTACCCAGTGTGCGGGGCAGGTGCCAGGCCGGGGAGGGGTGTAGGGCTGGCGCAGCGGCAGCGCTTCAGAGGGCTCCTCCACGTGGGGCAGGGGGTCACACGCCTGGGGAGGCAAGGCATGGGGTGCAGCATGTGACTCAGAGAACAGCTGGGGGAACTCAGGCCCGGGGTGGTTATCTCAGGCGCTCTACCCTCATCCTCCTGCAAGCCCCTCTTTGTGGAGACAGCTGGGAACAGTGGCCCAGGGCAGAGGGGAGCACTGTGTTTCTAGAGTTCTGACTTCACCCAGGCCAAAAGCAGAGCTGTGCTCATCTCCCACTTTGGGAGGCTTCAGGACCCCAAAGTTCTGAGAGGTGAGGACAGGTTCTGGGATCTCTTGCTGCTGCTAAGAATGTGGGTCCCCTCCCCGCTCCCCACCAGCCACTGTCTGTCGCTGGCAGAGCTGTGAGCTTACCAGAACGTGGAAGGGGCTGTTGGGGATGTGCTCGCCCCCAAAGCGGATGGTGATGACGTACTTGCCCGGCTCGGGCGCGGTGTAGTAGATGTCAAAGGTACCATCGTGGTTCTCAACCACATCCACGTCAAGCTCTGCCCCATCTGGCGTGGACACCGTGCAGGTCACCTTCCCCTTGCCCGCTGCTTTGGCATCCACTGTGATCACAGTCTCCTCTCCAATCTGAATTCGGGGGCCCAGGCAGGCACCTGCCACATGGAAAAGCCAGGTCAGGGGCCACTGGGGCTGTGTCCAGCCCTCCCCCTTCTCAGCTGTCCCCCAGTCCCTGAGCCCACAGCAAAAGAGGAAGAAGACACTCACCCAGGCCGTGGCCTCCAATAGACACTGGAAACAGAGAAAAGTGTTAGGCCCTGCAGCACTCAGGATGGGTCTGGGGTTGGAAGGGGGTGGAGGGGGACAGACTCTCTGGCCAACCATCCCTGGGGGACCGGGCAGAGGGTATGGACATACTCTGAGGGGGCTGGATGGTGAGAGAGGCAGGCGTGTGGGATGGGTGCCCACCTGTGACAAGGCACTTGCTGGCATCTCCAGTGGGCAGGGCATGGATGCGGAAAGGTGAGTAAGGGATCTCGTCGCCCCCGTACTTGATGGTGATGGTGTATCGGCCACTCATGTCTGGCAGGTAGGACACAGTGTATGTGCCATCCCCATTGTCTCGAATATTGGCCTTCTTGGGCTTACCCTCAGGGTCCTGGGGAGAAGCAGAGGTCAAGGCCTGCCTGTGCCCAGGGCATTGCTGGCCTTACCGGGAGGTAGGTGCATGGGACTCACCAGGATCTGGACAGTGAGCAGCCCCTCCCCAGCATCCCGGGCATCGATGGTGAACTCCACTGGCAGGCTGGCAGGAATGCCAGAGGCGTTGAGACCAGGGCCACTGGCCCGCACCTTGCTGGCATCATGGGCTGGAAGCACTTTGATCTTGAAAGGGCTTGAGGGACAGAAAGGATGGACAGTTGGCTGAGGGCTGGGGCAGGAGGTCCCATCTCATCTTGACAAGAAGGATCTTTGTTGGGGAGAGGGGCTGTTTCCAGACTCCTGTGACACAGCCTGATCATTTCTTCACCATTCCCCGCTAGGGGCTGGGGTAATTGTTTAAAGAGGAGGGCCAGAGGTTTCCACCCCAGAAGGCTCTCTCTCATCAGCCCTTTCTGTAAGTGCTATGTTGGTGTCAAGGTCCCTGGGCTGTGCCACCTTGGGGCAGAGAACTCTAGGGAGGAGCAGGATGGAGCAACCAATAGGCTGGGGTCACACGGGAGGGGCTCTCCGCAACCCTGGGTGGCTCCGGGAGTAGTGATCCAGAGCCGAGCATCTCCTTACCTGCGTGGCACCTCCTGGTCAGCATACTTGACAGCTACTGTGTAGGGCCCGTCAGTGGCAGGGGTGTAGTGGACAGTGTGGGTGCCGTCCCCATTGTCACGCACCTCTACAGGCTCAGCCACACCTGGACAAGGGGGTGGGGTCAGCAGAGCCTCCTCGCTCATTGCCTCACCTGCTTCCTCCCACCCCAGATATACTATACCTGTAGGGCCCAGCACAGCCACCTGCAGGGGGGCGCGGCCAGCTTGACTGCAGTCCACCATGAAGGTCTGGGGTACCCGAGCCCTGACGCCAGCGCCCAGCCCTGGCCCCGAGCATTTCACCTTCCCTGGGTCCACGACATCTTTCACTGGCACCCGGAATGGACTCCCTGTGAGGAGGAGGAGGAGGAAGAGGAGGAGGACATCAACCTCTACCCGTCTGCCTGGAAGGGTCTCTCTGATGCCAAGGACAAGAGGAGGAAGCCTCCCTTCCCCCTAGATGCCCACAGAGAGGTCAGATCAACATTCAAAACTGCTTAAGAACTTTCTAAGAAAATATAAACAAGAATAAATGAACTTTGCTATGGACTGAGGTCAGGCAAACCTTCTCATTCAGGCTTCAGGTCAGGAAGAAGGTCTTCCAAACAATACAATATTAAAATGTTTTCTGACATTGTGTTGAGAGCAGCCAGAAAAGGCCAGTGCCAGTGACCTGGACCATCTGAGTGACCAAGCCACTTGAGTAGACGTGAACAACCAAGGTCTGACACTCTGGGCCAGTGTTGCTGGGAATGAACAGGAGGGGCTGTCACATCTACAGCAACCCCTGCCCTGCCCCTCGGTATCCCCAGGCTTCTTTCTTGCCACCTGGGTTCCTGCCCCAGCATGCTCCAAGGTGCCCCTCTGCTAATCTCCACACCCAGCTTCCCTCTCCAGCACGAGCGCCATGCAGCCTTCCCCACCCCCACCCCTCTGTGCACCTGGGATGGGCCGTCCCCCGAAGGTGATGTTGACGTCGTAGTCTCCAGGTGTGAAGGGGATGTACTCCACGGTGCAGCTACCGTCCTTGTTGTCCTTGCAGGACATCTTGGCTTCTGAAGGGCCTTCAATGGCTAGGCCTAGGCCCCCGGTGCCAGCTCCCCTGCAAGATGACACTCCCATCACCTCTGCTAGGACCAGTGGGTGTGGATGGAGGGGGTTTCAGGGATGGGGAGGATAATGCCAGCAGGCAGGTGGGGGCCCTGGGAGGGGCGAGGGACTGACTGGAAGACTGGGAGGCTTGCCCTTGAGTCAGCCCTCAGAGAGGATGGGATAGGGTGAGACAGAGCCAGAAGGACAGATGAAAAGACAAGATCAAGGTGGCCACAGCCTCCACGCAAGGTTAGGAAAGGTGAAGATACCTGGTTTCCACAGTGAAGCGGTTGGATTTGTTGACCAAGCCACTCTCTAGGCCTGGCCCAAAGGCCCGGACTAGGGTAGGGTCACAGCCTTCAGTCACACCCACTCGGAAGGGGCTCTTGGGGACAGCCACATCGTCATAGAGCACCTCTACCAGATGCACGCCTGGAAGTCAGGTGCACTTGGTCAGGAAGTGTGGCCCCACAGCCCCGCTGCCCTGACCGTGCTGTGATCAGCTGCCTGCTAGGTGCACCTCCCTCGGCCCAGCTGCTCACCCTCCTCATAGGCCGTGTACTGCACCCGGTAGGTGCCATCCCCATTGTCCGTCACGTAGGTGTCTGTCTTAGCACCAGAGGGGTTGAGCACTCGAGCTGTCACATGGTTGCCACCCATGGTCGTTAAGGATCTTGCATCCACAGTGAACTCAGTGGTCACCTCCCGTAGGACACCTGGGGCCAGAGAGGCATTCTCAGCATGGGTGCTCAGCCCTACTCTCCAGGTGGAGCCCGGCCACCCTCTGCACCGCTGTGGGTCCCAGGCTGTCCACCATCGTGTCTATCACCATTTGGTGACATTTTCTGCCCACATCAGTTGCTCCACCAGGCTGTGGGTCCTGGAAAGTAAGTCTGGATCTCACATGCCTCTGCTTCCTCCATGCCCAGTCCACAGTGTGGCCCTGCAGATGACCCACTGATGATACTAGCCCTTGACTCCTGTCATCTTCTGTCCCAGAGCTCTCCCTCCTGAGCAGAATTTTCAACTTCCTTGGGTCTAAGATCCCTTAAACTAGTAAGTGTAAGATCTCCCCAGAAAAATGCCCAGGGGCAGATGCTATTTCATTACAAGAGCAGAGGCCAATGTCCACGCCTTGCATTTCTCCTCTGTGCTTTCTTTGAGATGTCTGGGCCCCTCAGGACTCGGGACGGCCAGAGAGCCTTCCCTGGAGCCCAGATCTCAGCTCTGCTTCCCTTCCTCCCACTGCCGTCTCCTGTCTCACTCACCATGAGGTTCCACTCCAGGCCCTGAGACCTTGACACCGCTGGTGTCAACAGCTGGTTGCACATGGACGCGAGTGGGGAACTTGGGGATGGGGTGGCCGCCGTACTTGATGGTGATGGTGTAGGTGCCGGGGAATGCAGGGCTGTAGGTGATATGGTAGGTGCCATCCGCGTTGTTGTGGATCAGCACCTCAGCCTTGACGCCGGCATCAGACAGGATCTCGATGGTTAGCTCAGCCTCGCCCGCCTCCGAGCAGTCCACGGTGAAGGTGGCCGCCTCACCAGCCTTGCCGCGCTCCAGCCCTGGCCCGCTGGCCCGCACCTTGCTTGGGTCAAACACAGGCTGGATGGTGGCCTTGAAGGGCGAGCCTGGGATGTGGGCTTCGGCAAACAGGATGTTGATCGTGTACTCTCCAGGCTCCGTGGGTAGGTAGCTGACGGCACAGGAGCCATCGCCATTGTCTTGGCATTCGATCTTGGCCTCGCAGGGACCCTCCACAGTCAGCCCCAGGCCACCTGTGCCAGCCCCTTTGGTGTCTATGGAAAATGGCGCAGGAGTGCCTACCAGGCCGCTCTTGAGCCCAGGGCCATAAGCACAGACCTAGGAGGGAGCAAGTGTGTGAGTTCCCCACATCCAAGCCTCTCCATGACACCCCACCAAGCTGGGAATCTTCAGCTGAGCAGCTCAGGCAGACTGAGAACAAGTACTCAGAGGATGAAAGAATTTATCCTCATTAGTGGACCCCGGATTTAAGCCAAGGTCCCATTCCAAGGCCAAGCTCTTAATAACTAAATTGTCTACAAGGTAAGTCCTGGGTGGAGGACAGTCCTGGTCCTTGGTCCTTGGCTGTGCCCACTCCTGGGATGTAAGTCCTTCTGGCCTGTGACCCTGATTGGTCCATTTTCCCTACAGCCCCCCACCTCCAGGTCTTGACTCCAACTAGCCTGTATCTCCTCACCTTCGAGGGGTCAGGGGGCAGCACACCCTCCACAGCAAAGGGGCTACCAGGCACTGGGTGGCCATCATAGGTTATGTCCACTTTGTAGGGCCCCTCTTCTGGGGGCATGTAACGAACTGCCTGGGCTTCGGCTCCACCCCCAGGCTCCAGTTTGCAGGGGATTGGTCGTCGGGAGGGTGAGGTCATCCGCACATCCAGCTGGCCCTGACCACCGGCCCCTCGTGTGTTCACAGAGAACTCCTGTTCCTGCCCCACAGCCACCTCTGCATGGAGCATAATGGACACCATGAGCAGAGACTCCAGCCCACCTCACCCAACACCCCTTACTCCCAGGGTGGCTCTTGTCCCACTTACTGCTGTTGAGGCCTTGAACTTTAACTTTGCTGAGGTCCAGTGGGGGTGCCACATTCACTACAAAGGGGCTTTTGGGAACAGGGTCCCCGCCATAGGTCACTGTCACTGCCATGTTGCCCTATTGGGTATAACAGAAAGTCAGAACTGGATAATTTAGCTTACCCTGGCACTATCCCCTGGGCCTAGTGGACTCAGGCTCAGAGACACACAGAAAGAGAAAGGATGGGAGGCAGGAAAGGAACAGGGACTCAGAACAGTTCTATGAGATTGCAGGAGGGACGGCAGGTCCCTGCTCTGCAGGACAGGTGAGGGCATGCAAGGATGGGACGCACCTGCTGAACAGCAGTATACTTGACGGTGTAGGAGTAGTCGTGGTTGTCTATGATTTCAAAGTCCCGCACGACCTCGCCCTTGGCTGCCCCAGCAAAGTGCACATCGAGCTTGGCCTTGCCCGCTCCCTTGGTCAGCACGGTGAAGTGAGTGGGCTTTCCGACTTCCACACCTGACAGCCCACCCAGAGATGGTGGTGAGGACTTAACCCCAAGCCAGACTTCACACCAGCCCCACTCCCTCCAGACACCTACCTGTGCGGTTCAGCCCAGGACCCTCAGCCTTGACCTTGCTGGCATCGTGGGATGGATCCACCTTGATGTGGAAGGGGCTGGCGGGGATCTCCTGGAAGTGGAAAAGGCCTGGTCAGGGCTCCACCTAGAAGATCACCGTGCTGTGCCAGGCTGGATGCTGGTCAAAATGCCCAGGAAATGAGTAAGCACTAGGATGGCCTCTGCACCAGCCCTTTTATATCTCGGTCACAGTGCCCCCACTCAGGGAAGGGTCTACATTGCTGTGCCTCCTGCCCCTGAAACCATGCACTGTCAGCTGCTGGTGTAGACCTCCAATATGCAGGCCACTATGACTAGCATCAGCAGAGGGCCAGGGTACCTGGTTGGCAAACAGCACCATGATGGTGTAGCGGCCAGCTCCTGGGGGCGTGTACTTGACTGTGAAGGTGTCGTTGTCATTCTTGATGATGTCAAAGTCAATGTCAGCCTCTGCAGGTCCCACCACACCAGGGGCACACTTGATGCCAATGCTCACGTCACCTGAGGGAGGGAGGGAGGGCAGAGGCCTGAGCAGAGCCCAAAAGTCTCCCACACCTGCAAGTCATGGGATCCTGCTGGAGTCCAAGCCGTCTCCCACTCAGATCTCACCCAGTGTGTACGTGTACCTTGTCCTGCTTCGCTGCAGTCCACTGTGAAGTACGTGGGCTCATTGGCCTTGAGGCCTGTCTTCTCCACGCCAGGGCCATACACCTTCACTCGCTCAGGGTGACTGCCTTCTCCCACGTTCACCTGTGGGTAGGGGTCAGTGCTCAGCTCGGTGCTCCTCCAAGCCCCAGCCTGATAGAATGGCTGTAGCCTCTTTGAGGGATTTGGGATGGGGAGGGGCTACACAGGCCTAGGGACAGCCAGCCCTGCTGAACAGAGCCCACCTCCCTCTTGGGGTCGTTGGCAGTGGGCATGGGGCAGGCTTGGAGGACCCACCCTGAAGGGGCTCTTGGGCACGTTGACACCTCCCCAGGAGATGATGATGGTGTGCTTGATGGGCTTGGTGGGCATGTAGGAGCAGCGGAAGGTGCCGTCACCGTTGGGGATCACCTTGATGTCAATGGGGCAGCCATCTGCGTCCTGTGGGCATCACCAAGCAAGGTATTTAGTGGCTGTGGCCGACTCAGAGCACCTCAGTGCGCCCTCTGCCGGCAGCAGGCAGACTCAGCACCCCTCCTGTCCTCACAAACACACTGGTACCTCTCCCGCCCCTGACATCAGACCCCTTGAGTTTAATGCCGTGTGCTCTGGTGGCCAGGGCCCACCCTGGCTCATGACTGAAATGTGTTAGTCAGGGAAAAGCAGGGTGAAATCAGTGTTCCTAAAATTGAAAAATGAGCCTTTTAAAGAGTCATCTTCTCCTTGGAGCCTCAAGAAAACGTTCATTAACCTCTAGAGTCAATGGACAGTTTAAGAAAATGAAACCCTAAAATCCAGTGGAACCATTTTTCAATTGTAAATTATTAGTTAAAAAATGAATTGGGTAAAATATGGTTCTATGATTATTGTAAGAAAATAAGTTTAAAATTTTTCATAGTACTTATGGACCCATGATGCCCAGTCCTGCTTTTCTTGATGTGCCAACCTCCCTTCTGGAGGCCCTGCCTGGGGAAGTGGGGGCAGTGGAGCCTGTGTGGCACCCACCTGGGCGTAGAGCTTCAGATCTCCCTTGCCAGCTGCTCGGGCATCAATGGTGAACTCGGCGGGTTTGTCCACGATGCAGCCCGTGGGCTCCAGGCCAGGCCCAAAGGCCTTCACCTGGGCAGGGCAAGAGAGGAGACCTGGGTTGGGCCTGGAGGAGCCCTAGCACCTTACTTCCCAACCAAGCCTGTGTGCAGGAGCCGGGCTCGCACCTTGTCTGGGAAGCAGTCTGGGGCGGCTGGCTGGATGTGGGCAATGAAAGGCGAGTCGCGGATGTCCTCATCATCGCAGATGACGTGCACGGCGTACTCGCCAGGCTCTGTGGGCCAGTACCGCACATCGCAGGAACCATCCCCCTTGTCGTCACACTCGATCTTGGCCTGTGAAGGCCCCTCGATGGAGAAGCCTGGGTGAGAAGCAGAGCATCAGAGGGTGTGAGAGGCAGCTTGGCCTCGCAGGCCAGTCTCCCATTCCTCCCCCGCAACCACTCCGGTCACCCCGGGGTCCCATATCCTCGTTCGTCCTGATGACCCCCAGCATTCCCACCCTCTGTCCCCAGTCACTCTCCGTCATGTCGTCCCTCTCCCCAGAATTCCTACCTTCTGCCACCCAGCCACTTACCCAGTGTCCCCACCTCTGTGCCAATGGCCTCCACCACAAAGTCGGCTGATTTGCCCACCTGGCCAGTCTCCAAACCAGGGCCCCAGGCCCGCACCTTCTGTGTCCCCGCCTCTGGGCTCACCTGGACCTCGAAGGGGCTAGGGTAAAGAGGGAGCTGCCGTCAGTGCAGGAAGTGCCCTTGCCAGAGGTACCCTTCTCACTTCCCTCCGTCCCTTGCCTCCCTTCCTCTTGCCCAGTGAAGGCTCGGACAGGAAGGCATGGGGGCGGTGCTTACCTCCGGGGGATGGCGTAGCCGCCCCATGTGATGGTCACCACATACTTCCCAGGCACCACAGGATAGTACTCGCATTCAAACACATCGTCTCCGGCCTCCCGCACCTTTACCAGCTCCTCTGTGCCCTCTGGTGTGGAGGTGCAGATAGCATCCTATGAGCCCCAGCTCCTCAATCCTCTCAAGAAAGGCTTGGGACCCGGGGATCTGAGGGCAGTGTGACTAGTGGGCAGCGCTGAAACTCGGGGCAGGAACCCTGTGCCCACAAGTGTTCTTCCCAGTGAAGCACACAAGACAGACAGAACCAGTTCTAGTTTGCAGACTGGGAAACTGAGGCAGGGAAGGGCCAATGCACCAAGATCCCGAAGTGACCCTTTGGAGTCTTCTCCTAGGGTGGCATGGTGCTGGCCTCATCACCCTGGGATTGTCAGAATAAGTAGACAGATTTCTTCCCTGCTCCTCCACCCTCAGTTGCCACACTGGACTCTGGCACTTACTTGGCCCTTTGACTGTGACCTTGAGCTCCCCACTGCCGGCACCCTTGGTGAACACCTTGAAGTCGGCCACCTCTTTCACACGTACACCTTTGGGTTGCAGGCCTCGCCCAGAAGCACGGCAAGCATTGGGGTTACAGGCTGGGAAGAGGAAGGAGAGGGAGGTTGGGGGTCCCGAGAATCCCTGGAGAGAGCCTCAGTCACTTGTCCCCTCCCTGCCCACCCCCTTGACCATCCCCTACCGACAGGCACAGGCCATGGCCCCATGCAACCATGCCCTACTCCCTTCATGCCTCCCACACACTGGGCTGCTGGGAGCTGTGCTGAGCAGAGAGCTGAGGTCAAGCAGGTTACAAGAAACCCTTCCTGCTGTGTTCCTCAGAGCCAGTGGGACAAAGCCATGACAGCCTGGGCTGACAGTGAGCTGAGAGAGGCAGGGAAGGGCCCTTTATCCATACCAAGTCCACCCATCTGGGCCTTTTCAGAGTCACCATCACAGCCTCAGGAACCAGGCCATGCCACAAAACATCCAGCAATACCATGGAACCAGAGCTGTTCCATGTAACCTGAAGCCTGTCACAGAGCACAGGCAATGGATAGAAACCAGCCTGCCACAGGACGGACAAGAGTGGGAAATCTCAGCCTGCCACATAACTCATAAAATGGCATGGAGCCCAAGGGGCACCACAAAACAGGCCATGACATGTAATCCAGGGCCTGCCACAGAACACAGGCAGTGGCACAGAACCTAAACTGACCACAGAAATCATCAGGCAAGTGGCAAGGAAACTAATCCTGCCAAGGAACACAGCCAACAGCATGGAACCTGGGGCCTGCCACAGAATGCCCCAGAATTGGGCCAATCCACAGCAGGTGGGTCATGCCACACAGCACAGGTAATGCCAGTCTGGTATGGCTATGCCCAGCTTTGCCACCACTGGCAAGTACTAATATGGAGCCACTCTCTTGGCCTGGTGGACGATGGGCATGGAAGGGGCAGGCAGCAGCAGGGGCACTGAGCTCAGGGAGAGAACCAGTGCCGGGGGTGGGGGTGTATGTCTCCAACTGAGGGCCTGACAAGCAGGCGGGGTCTTACGGGTCATCCCTCAACCTTTCCATGGAGGCACCTGCTGTGCTATCCTTCAGTGTGGTCTCCTGCCCCTCATCTTAGCAGGCTCCTCAGTGCGGGGAGGTAATAAGGACAAGCCCCCCTAGGCCCTGACTGGCTACTTTTTCTGCCCATCTCGGCTCAGCTAGCTACTCTACTTGTGGATTAAGTGCATTTATCATCAGTCCTCAGACCTGGAATTTGGAGGCAAGTCTTTCTGCATCCTGGCTTTGGTGAGGGTGATTTGGGGGATCAGAGTAAGGTCCCTTACCTTCTGCCACATGCACAGGGAATGGACTGCGAGTGATGGGGGAACCAGCGAAGGCCACGTGCACGGTGTGTGGCCCTTCCATCACAGGCCGGTATGTGCAACGGAATGTGCTGTCACCCTTGTCCTCCAGGGCCACCTCTACTGTGTCCTGACGGCCCTGTGGGTCCACAATCACCACAGCAACATCACCTGTGCCAGCCCCTGCCATGGAGAGAGGACATCAGGGACCATTCTCGACACACACAGCCCAACAGAGCTCTCTCCCATCTGAGACCAGCCAGCCCCTGTCCAGGACCTCTGCCTAAGCCCCCTGTTCACACTCCCCACATCCTGTCAGAAGTTGCCCACCTGATATGCCTTGCAGCCTATACATACCAGCAGTGTAGATGTCAAAGTAGGTGGGTTTGTTGGCCACGTTACCCACAGGTTCCAGGCCAGGGCCACGGGCCGACACCTTGTTGGCATCCCCCAGCGCCATGCCCACATTCACCTCAAAGGGGCTACGCTCAATGTTCTGGCCAGCAAAGAGCACAGTCACCTAGAGGTGAGAGGTCAAACGTTAGCTTCTAGCAGAGAGTAGTGCTGAGAGGGGTGGAGGGACAGAGTAGAGCCAAGGAAGGTGAAAGGGGGATGGTTGGTGTCCTAGGAGGGGTGGGTGTGGGCTAAGAGGGGTCCATTGAATCAACCATGGATGTGAACAACAGGGAAGGCAGAAGGACCTACAGGGAGATACCTTATGTAACCCAGCAACCTTGGGCACGTAGGAGACAGCATACGTGCGGTCCTTGTCATTGTTGGGAACCACCTTGGCCTATGGAGAAGGAAAAAGATTGGAAGTCACAGTGGTCGTGGCCCCTGCTGACCCCACAGTGCCCAGGGCTCCTCAGCCCCAGGTGGTCCCATGGTGACGGCTTCTCTAGTCTCCACAGCGCCCCATAGGAATCTAGTTGTAACCCCATGCTAATCCCTCCACCACTGAGGGCTGCTCCATACCTCCTCCGTGTGACCTTCAGGGTCCTCAATGTAGACCAGCACCTCACCCAATCCAGCATCCACTGTCTGCACAGTGAAGTGGGCAGGCTGCAGCACTGTGTTGCCCTGGGGCTCAATGCCTAGGGGTAGAAGCAGAACCCAAATTACACAGCGGGACCCTACCACTGTCCAGCTTCCCTGGGGAGGACCTTTAGGGTTCCACACATACCAGGCCCATAGGCAATAGCTTTCTTGGGGTTCAGCTGCTTAGAGCGAACAGGGGCACCAGGTTTGAGCTTAGCCTTGGGGAACTGGGAGAGGTAGGTCATGACCGAATGCTCATCCACGTTGGGGTCCACAATCTCCTCGGGGGCGATCACCTGCATGGAGAGGAATGATTCTCATGGCGCCCTCTTTACCCGGCAGCCTCGTGCCTCCGGCAGCCTGCCACCTAACCTCAGAGGCCAACCTTTACCTCTGCTCCCTCATGCCCCACACATCACCCCATCTGCCAGTGTACCTGGGGCACCCCGAGCCAGTCATCCGCCTGTTGCATGGCCTCTCGAGCATTCTGCACAGGCTGGTTGGGATCCCAGGCCTCCCAGTCTGGGCAGAGGCCTGGAGAGATGGTGGAAAGGGTCAAAAGTTAGGGGAAACCTGTCAGCCAGATGCTGAGCATCGGCATCTGTAGGTTCTTCTTACACCTTCAGAGGCTGCAGCTTCTACTCCTTTTCCGGCTGGCTTGAAGCCCCTGACCAGCCAGGTTCCCACTGCCTCCTGATGTCACAGCTCGTCAACTGGGATCCCAAATAAGATGCAGCAGCCCTCACCAGCAGCAACAATGAAGGCTTTCTGCCCCGGCTGATGCAGCCTGGCACCGACCCTGCCCAGCCAGCCTCCTGCCTGCCCAGGACCCGGCAGAGATCCCGAACACCAAGCCCCCATGAGGGACCCCTGCCAGACTTCTTTTGCCTCATTCAGTCTGCTTCAGGGGTGGGGAAGGGAGGCCAAAGCCCCCGTCCCATGTACACCTCTGACCTATCCCCTCAAGCTGCAGCTCCAGCTCTCTAAGCACTTCCTGCTCCAGCCCCGTGCATAAGACTCCTTTCCTGACTGCCCCGGAAGAGAATGAGTTCTCCTCTGGGACCATAAAGAGTCCAGCCTGCTAGCAGACCAAATGAGGCAGCCCCAGATCACACTGTGAAGCCATACAGGGTCAGGGGATGCTTGGTCCAGAGCCGGAGTGGGGCCTTACGCATTAGTGGGGAGGGGGCCGACTCACAGGCTGGAATTCATGACTGGCTGGAACAGCTGAGCTCACTGCTGGCAGCTTCTCCCGTTGTGGGCAGTGGCTCAGCAGCTGGGAATGCTTCCCAGGCGGCATGCCCCTCCCCCCGCCTCCCACCTCCTGCTCCCCAGCTGACCCCAGGTTGGGGGTGGGATTCCCCCAAGGGGCTGTGGCTCCTCAGGCAGTGGAAGGTGGAAGAAGACCTCTCCTTTCAGGAAATGAAGGTCAAGCTGTGCACCAGGCAGGGCCTTGGCTGTTTGCTGAGGACCCTCATGTTTCCAACTGACTAGGTCAGAGAGCACACCCAAGGGGGCAGGGTTGGGTCACCTGCCCCTGGACAGTACTGCGCCGCCTCAGGCCACATCATGCTGGGCCTTAACCCCTTCTCAAACTCTTCCAGGGTCTCATCAAGAAGAGCCTTCTCTTAGTCTAATTCCGGCCTTCTTTCTACAAGTCCCATCACACTTTCCTTCTCTCTGCTCAGAGGGGTTGGTGCCCATGTGGCAAAGTGGAGAAGCAAGGTCTTGGCCTCTGGGTATAAGCTGTGTATCACTGACAACTCACAGCCCTGTCTGGACCTCCCTTCCCCCTGCCTTTGAAATGAGGTGTTTTAAATATTGTCCTGCCCCTGTGGAATCAGGCCTGTCTGCTGGTAGGGCCTGACTCCAGCAGTGATACCCAGTAGGAGGAGGGAAAAACTCCACGGTGCTCCTGATCCCTGACAACCCCAGCCACACCTCCTTCTCACTGTCCTTCCAGGCTGAGGGCTTTGTGGGTGCCTGCTGGCCTACTCACCGGGGGCACAGTTGTCCACCAGGGCACCCAGGGCCTTGCCATCCTGCCAGTCACGGTTGAAGTTGGTAATAGGCAGCTGGGGCACCTTGTTCTGGATCCAACCAAGCAGACGCTGCTTGGGTGTCTGTTTGCGGGCATCCTCGTCATCCTCATCCTCCCACATGGGCATGGAGATGGAGTAGTGCAGGATCAGCGTCCATATCAGGCCCAGGATCAGTTTCAGGTTCCCATCCACAATGGCCTTGCTGTCTGTAGAGTAGAGGGAACAAGCTGGTCCCACCCTGTGCCACACTTCTGCCCTGAGTGCCCACCCACACCTGCCCAGCTGCCCGAGGCAGCTACTAGAGTGCCAGGGTCAGGCTCCTACCACCAGGACCTTCTTTGCGCACTAAATTCTTGGTCTCTGACAAGTCCTGGTCCATGCGTGGAGTCCTCTGTTGCTCATAGTACCTTCACCTCTACCACAACACTTGAGGCTGCCTCCAATCTAAGCCAGTTTCCCATTTTGGTCTCTTGGGTACAGACACTATTTTTTTTAAATGTCATTTTATCAACATACAACAAACTGCACATATTAGAATACAGTTTGATAAGCTTTGATACTAAGCAGGTACTCATAAAGCCATTGCTACAAATCAATAATTAACATGTCCACCACTCCCTAAATTGCCTTGTACATAGCTCTTTGTGAGCCTTTCTTCCCGATCTATTCTCTATTATGATAAATTAGTTTGTGTTTTCTAGAAGTTTATATAAATGAGATTATACAATCACCTTTGGGGGGGGGGCCTCACTCATTTCATTTTAGACCCTGGGTTTTATCTTCTACACCGAGGGCTTAGAATTTAGCAGGGTCTCAATAAAAGTGACTGAATGAATATTTTGAAAGCTTAAAGATAAATTAGATAAGAATGGAACCAGCCCGGTTCCACTCACAATCTACTCTGCCAGGCCATAAGGAGTTTTGGAACAAAGTGGTTCTGGGAAGAGGTTGGGGGCATAACATGCGCTCAGCTAAGCTTTAAAAGTCAAAGCTGCCAAATGCTGGGGATCAAAGGATCTCAAAAAAGCCAGGAGAAGGAAATGTCATCCAAGGAGGGGGGGGTCAAGTCTTAGACTGAGACACACTCTACCCATCACCTCCTCTGAGTAATACTTTGGACCAGAACTAGCTCCCCAAGATTTTAGCGCCCCAGTTCCCCTTTAATAGCCAGAGAGAAATATCCAGGAGGGGAGGGGGCTAGAGTGCAGAATTTGGAATCCAGTCTACTGTAAAGCACAACGCAGGCCTGAAATCCATCAGCTTCTCTGAGCATTGACTGCTTTTAAGAGAAGGACTGCTTTGGCGGGGGCAAAGACTCATACTTGTTTACTGATGTTGCCCCAGAGACGAGAGAAGGTGGGGTTGGAGATTCCCACCTTATACATCTTTGCCTGCCCCCCTCTCCCAGGTCCTGGGGGAGGATATTAGAAGACAAGCGCCTAGGAACCCCTGACATCTCCACTCCACCCCCACCTGCCTCTGAGGAGGAATCCGGTCTTCCTGGGCCCTGGGGCCTCACCCTCCCAGTCACTGATTCATCCTTCCTTCCCCCGTAGTTCCCCAGCCCGCCCCTTTCCCCTGGCTTCACTGCAGCACAATGGTTTGGCAGCTCTTGGATTCCATGACACACTTGCTGCTGGCCCCTGGTGCTTTCTTTCACTCTTCACACATACAAGCCCACAACACTTTCACGCAGTCTGGATGCCCCAGTGCCCCTAGCCCTCTCACAGCCCTGACAAAGCACCAAAGCTGGGGACTCACAACCCAGAAGCGCCCCCCACCACGTGAGGGAGGCCTTGAGGCTTGGGGTTGGGAGGAGGTGAGAGGTGGAGAAGGGGTCACTCGTGTTTTCGGGAGAGAGAGGTTTCTCCCTAGCAACTGGCCCTGGGCCAGACAGCAAGTGGTCCACAGCTTGGGGCAGGATTGGGACAGCAGGCTTCAGTTCCACCCTGGGAGCAATGACCTTCCTTTCTCTCCTCCCTTTGGAAGCCAGGCAGAGGTGGGAGCTCAACTCCACCCAAGCTGCTTCCCACTGCAGCACCCCACTGAGCCATCACTTTGCCTGTTACCCCCAAAGGAGTAGCAGAAACCAGGCTGGTCCCAGACCGGACACACACTGCCTCTAGTGGAGAGGGGAGAGAGGGCTGGGCAGAGGGAGGTGCTGGGACAGCTGCTGCCCCCTCCAGCCCCTCCCTCGGCTGTTGGCTCCAGGAGAAGGAACAGCAACTGGGGAACAGCTGCGGGACAGAGCTGCCTCATAGGCCTCTTTGTTCTGAGGGGCTGAGGGGGCAGTGGGGGCCCAGAAGGGAGTGCTGGGCGGTAAGAAGGGGGCATGCCCTCCTTGGATCTGGGCTGAGGACTCCTCTTCCAGGTGGACTTTGAAGAGTCCCATTTCCCTGCTCCCACCCCAAACCCTGACTTCCCATCGAGAAGGAGAAGTGGGGAGTCTTTATGACCCCCCAGATGCCGTCCTGCAGGAGGCCTATGGATGGTGTCTTCCCACCACTGAATAGGACCTGGGTGACTAGAGGAAGCAGGATACCCCCCTCCTTGCAGGTAGCCCCTCTACATCTCCTTGGGGTCTCCGGGTTGGTGTCTGTGCCCCTCCCCTGCAGCCTCAGCCCTGGCCCAGCAGCTGAATTGCTGACAGCTTATCTCATCAGTGTGAGTGAGCCTCTCGGCCCAGAAGGGGCACAGCTCCCCTTCCTCCCAGCGGGAACCCAGGGAACTTCCCTCCCACCCCCAAACAGCTCTGGCTTCTTTCCCCCTGTAGAGGAGCTGGCCCCTCCACAGCTGAGCCAAGGGGGCCCGAGCCAGGCACCGCCATGGGGGAGGGGAGAGGTGCGCCTGGGAAGGATGAGGCCTGGAGTGGGGCCCGGCCACCCCCACAGCCACAGCCACAGCCACAGCCGGAGGGAGGGGAGGCTGAGTAGCTTCCTATAATGTCTTGCAGAGGCCCCAGGCTTCCCCCGGAGACCCCACCTGGGACAGTTCGTCCTGCCTTTCATTCCCAGCATGGAGGGGGATGACAGCTCCAAAACTGCCTCTCTCACCCCCCCACCCTCCCCTCCAC